AACATATCTCAATGACCTCTTCTGAAGAGCAAATATTGTATTCTGTAACTGTAAATCACAAGAATTATCAGAAATATAGCAAATATGAGATTCTATTGATGCTAAGTCAGCCATTCGATCTCATTCATTTGAAATCACTCATGAGCTAGGGTATCCTACAGCTCGAAAGGCTCACTTTGCATTGACCGACAAAGCTTTGAAATCAGTCTCCAAAGGAAGTATATCTCAAAGACCTCAAGACCTACAAGAGTTGAAAATATTCGAATTTATATATTCCTGCCTATCCTGCGACCGATGTTCCTTAGACATAATAGGACTTCCCTTTCGTGCGCTCCAAAAGTTAACATGAAAAATAGGGCAGCAATCGTGATCCAGCTTTGAGGAGAATGAATCGTCAGTATATTCCCAACATGAAACACCATTGAATGTACTGACCTTGTGGACATATAGAATCAGAATTGAACTCAATTAATTTATAGAAAATCCTCAGACTCCACAAATAATTAATTCAACGATGTAACTTTTCAGAAGCCTTCCAAATTCGATGTTGTGTAATTACCTTTTAATTGAGCCCTTCGTTTTGGGCATGGCGTTTTCGAGTAACTGTGGAATGAAAAACACTTTCCTCATCCTTTATCGAATTTTATGCATGACAACCTTCATTAAATTAATGTTCTTGAAGTTCAAACTGTCGAGATTTCATTAGAGCATTATAGAAATGATGATCAAAGGGACAGACATTGAAATAACATCAGCAGTTGTTTTCAAACACAGTTCGAAGAATCGTCTTATAATGCTTATTAAAAATCCAAACTTTCTAGCTCAATTTTATTATCATTTCATGAAAGCGAACGATTTCCTCTGCAAATTGCTATTATATTTATATCGAACTAAAAAAATCATCTTTCACATAGAGAATAATGTGTTCTGTCGGTGTATGTGTACGGTATGTAACTTGACTACAGATATCATATATTATGCCACCTTAGAAGCAGCTTCGGTTATTGGAAGGTAACAGATAATCTTGTATAAGGATCAAAATAGCATACTCTTATGATACTCGGTTTACTACACCTTTTTCAATTGTAATTCAGTGAGTGAGTGATGTTATTCCGAAAGTATAAGTTGTAATTCAGAATAGTTAATTGTTACTCAGGAAGAATAACTCCACATTTAGATTAGTTAATTGTTATTCAGAAAGCATAATATGTAATTCAGAATAGTGAAATGTAATTAAGAAACCGTCAATTGTGATTCAGAAAGCATGAATTGTAATTCAGAAAGTATCACCTATGATTCAGAAACTAGAAACAAACCGTATGCATCCATTCTCCTTGAGACTTTTACGTAAATCAAGTTACCAACAATCAAAGCCATGTTGTCATAGGAAGTAACTACGAAATATCAAATGAATGTCAAATAAATTGCAATTGAAAAGAATTTCACAGGTATCGATATTGTTGTTTCATCACATACAAGTGAGATTATGGATTTCAATTATTGTGGAATTTGCTCTGGCATTTCAAGATATGCCTGTTGAATTTGTTTTCTTTTTCAACTTACGCCAACTATAAATTATAGAAGGAAATCATAGTATTGTTGACAATTTCGAAATTCTACATGTAGAAAATGAAGGGATAAAACTCAATCATTTTGAATCATTAGGAATCAACAAAATCAAGAATTGTGACGTTTTACTTAACGATCAATCAGACCTCAATTGTTCACCACTATTGAATTTGTTTTACTTTCAAGTTGATCGGGTACAGCGTATTTCAATTTAGATATTGTGCCTTATTTCCGAAAATGAAGGTTAATCGAACCTGCCCAGAGGTAACTAATCCTTCAGGTTGGGAAAGTAGGATATATAAGCAATTAAAGGTTATATAGTTTAGTTCATCGTACCAGTATATCACCTGACGAAGCTACTGTGTTAGCGAAACAAGTCGTTGTTTGAGAATTTCGTGGAAATCTCATCGTTTGTGAATTTTTAACATTTGCCATGGATTTCAAGTAACGGCCGAGTCAATTCAAAATAAGAGCTGAACGTCGAGACTCGTCGAAAATATAAATGGATTGCATTGCATGACTTTGAAATTACGCGCACTCATCAGTGCATGTTATTTATAAACTTTTTTGTAATTCACTCGAACTCATTCATTCACCCGTTTCGGACTTACTCTTGATCTCCTTCAATATATAACTTGTTTAATTTCAAAACACTCTGAATACGTTGTTAAAAGTTCTACAGGGTGATCGACATTTGAGTTCGTGGATCACCCTGTATATTGAATTTCCAATCATATAATTATATGTGGAGAAATAAAATTGAACATCGACCTGTTTCTGGAGATTTCTCACAAATATACAGTTTGGCTCGAAATGAATGTGTTCCTTTCATTTTCACCAAACTGCAAAACAGAGGGAAAAACACTCTGAAACTGAAATTCCCATCTCAGTGAGAAATGGGATAAATAGTGCTTAGATTTCAGGGAGATGTAATGTGATGTGCTGCGTGAAATTAGCCCACGTCATCTCCCACTGTTGTTCTACACTTTATTGAACACTCGTGGAAATGACTTCGAGCATTTCCTTCATTATTGACATTCTATTCCACTTTCAGTATTTTTTCTGTTTTGTCATTGGAGTGATGTAATTTTTTTCCATTGAAATGAAACACCAACCAGGCATATCCAGGGTTACTGGTAATTCGATACATTCCTTTGAAGTTGTGATGGGGGAGGTGGCAAAGAGTGAAATCAATCCTAGTATGCATTATGCAAAATTCAATAGTTTGTGAGATATATAAATTTTTTCATTTTTCTCAGGCTTCAAGGGTTCAAAAGTTAGTTTTCCGAAAATCCGCTGTACATTTATTGAACCTTTCAACTATAGATCACATGATAAACACTATGGTTAAAAAAATTCCAGAAATTATTTAGATCATATTTGGAAATTGTAAATACACGAAGTCGTCATTTCGCTTCTGAATTGTGGATTTCAGCACTTTCTAGCGGTTACTTTTGAAAAAATCTCTAATCAACATTTGTCAAAATGTTTTTGAAACTTTCTTAAGGCAATAGCTATCTTATACTGAGTACAAATGAAACTGCAAGTGCTTGATACGGGTTTGTTATTCCAAATGAAAAGTATAAAACATATTCGATAAATCAGTAGTCATTATACAGTATGATGCAAATGTATGGAATAAATTCATTATTTCAGAAATGGGCGACATTTGGAAAAATTCCAAAAACACGTGAGGTTTCATTTTTGAAGCCTCATCTCATGATATTCAAATGAGAGATGTTACGTCACCGGTGTTGGAGTAATGACGTAATGAACGATTTTTTCAAATGAGAACAGGGGTCATGTGACACCCCGTTTGAAAGGTCTACTGATCATCCATTCAACAGTCAAAATTTTGCATAAGAAAATTGAAATTGAAATTGGAATGGATTATCATTTGATTAACTGAATCTTGCAGAGGTCTGCTACTGAGAATTGAACAACGAAGGGTCGTCTATTAAAAAAAATACATCAATTAACAAAGTTCTGAAGTCTAGTTTTTGAATTTTTTCGAAAGTCGTCTTGTTTTGAAATGAATTTATTCCATACATCTGCATCATACTCATATATATTTGTATTTATACGCTGCCCTGCACATATGAAATGATTTGACAACTAGAATATCAAAGACCGAAATACAAAGACGCTGCTGAGCGTGTTCGTAATTTTGGTAATAGATGCTCTCACTTCGAAAATGAATCATAAATAGTATATACTCATCGAAATATTTCGAGTACGATTTTACTATTCATCTGAGATAACCAACCCGTATCAAGCACTATTAGTTTCATTTGTACTCAGTAAGATAGCTATTCCCTTGAGGAAGTTTAAAAAAAATTGACAAAAATAATAATAATCGCTCGAAAGTGTAACAGTACACAATCAACAAACAAAAATACGACTATGTATCTACAGTTCATTTATGATCTGAATGATTATTTCTGGAATTTTTTTATTTCAAACATAAGATTATAGTGTTGATCATATATTCTAGTTGAGAGATTGAGAAATTCACAGCAGATTTTCGGGATGCTAACTTCTGAACCCTTAAAGTCTATACCATTTGAAGAAAATCAGTAGAATTCGCATATATCAAAAACTTTTGCATAATGCATATTATTATATTTATTATTCCAAATTTTTTGGGATTTTCTCTCCTCGTTTCATATTATTATAGATTCACTTCTTATCACCTTCCCTATTACATCTCCAAAGGAATCCATCGAATCACCTTTCGTGCGCTCCAAGCGATAAAAAAAATCCTGATATAGTGTGTTATTGGTGAGTGAAACAGTTATTCAAATGCTCGTAATGAAATTCATATGAATCCATAATCCACGGAGAAATCGAACAAAAATTACTGGTTATCAGATGTATTTTATGTATATTGAACACTGATATATGGAATTATATTAGTTAAACTAACGAAGGTTGTTGTAGGTCTCCTGTATTATATTTAACGTAGGAGTCGCTGGGAGAATATATGATCAGATGAATCTATATTTATAAACAATTTACTCTCCTATAGTCGCTGGTGGAATATGATCAGTACAATCTGAAACTCAGTCAAATTGTATATTATTATTCACTCCATGAATATTCAGGAAATTTCGAAAAGGTTTCTGAAAACTGGGAACAATCTGCACATAATTATATCGGAATAACTCAAATACGATCCTGATGATGTATATCATCAATAAATCGAATCTTTCACGATCGCTATATTACATGGATCTAGGAAAACTTGTTTCGACAAATCCAATAATTGACAATCCTTGTTTCTCACTCGAGACTTCTGAACTTCGACAATTCTCAGTAACGGCATTTCCACTATTTTTTTCCAATAATCGAGTTGTCCTTGATCTCTCCGAAGTTTTGATATTGTTTACAAAGACATTTTCTCAGACAATTGAATAGAGTTTTTTGTTTCAGTTACAATCGTCAATATAGAGGCTGTGGCTGGGGATCCGGTTTATCTACCATGTGATATATCGACCATTGAACCTGGGGATCAAGTGTTGTTGGTTTTGTGGTATCGTGAGGATTTTGGAACGCCCATTTACAGGTGAGATAAGTTTGATTCTACAGAAAGCAATGAGCGCATATATAATATACATGAAATACAATGTGATTCAGTGGTAAGTATCCTGGATGGATATAATAGTTATTCATACACCAAGGTAGTAACGACTATCAGTATTACCCAGGGACCAAGATTGTATCCCGAGACTTCCCCGAGGTATCAGGAACATTTTTTAATTCTGTTCGGTAGCAATTCATATTGGTGATCAGGAAGAGTGATGAGGAATCAAGAAAATTTATTAAAATTTTTCGAGATAAATGGTGTCATTGGACTTAGAACGGTATGCAATTGGTTGCTCTTGTTGTAGCAGACATTTTACCAATTTCTGCCTATTCGAAAAAAAAAACATATATTGACCCGCAATCAAAAACATCAATCATCAACTCCTACCCACTTTATGGAAAGATATCATGAAGAATAATACATTATTCATCAAGGGACCCAAATGCAAGATTTTTTCCATGGTGCGATTTGTAGCTCGAGGACGAAAGCCGAGAGATACAAAGAACCGAGCATTTTGTCCTGAGGTGTATAAACTATTTTTCACGCTGGCGAACACACAAAAATTAAGGAACAATAAAAAGTTAGTCAAAGTGTTTTGTCATAATTAGTATAGTAGTCCATGAATATGCCCTAGATAATGTCGAAAAATCAACAACTCAATAGAATTATCATCATATTAGGATTCTTGTTTATCATGATGAATCTAAAGGCAAAATCAGACGACAGATGTAAAATCAGTTATTGAAACATATTCTCGACAAACCATTCATTTGCGCACTCCTCATATCTTCTTCAAATCACATCCTCATATTTATGTGGTATATGTTCGAATAGTTCGTGAACTTTAGAATAGGCGAGTGAACTGATAATGAATTATTCAATCACTCCACTGTGTCGTTAGGAGCCTAAATTGATTTTTGCAACTCTTCTCACGCTTTTTCAATGAATATATTGTATGGTAAAAACAATAAAATGAAATAAAATAGAAATATGGTAACAAGAAGTTCAATTGGAGACATACATATGATCATATCGATGATAATATTGTAGGGAACTAGGGGCGATTATTTTCTTTGATAACATGTTCGAATCTCTCTTTTGTGTAGTTCTGAATTTGCATTCATTCATCGTTTTTAGCGAGTCAGGGATGGCGTTATGAATTTTTGATGCATTGTATGAGAATGATCGTTGGTATAGTGACATATGGTGCTTAAGACGGTTGAGGTGGTACATATATCTGGTGTTGATTGTGTGAATATCCTGTCTGAACTCAAGTTTTCCATATAAATATACTGGGGATTGAAATTGAATTAAATTATGAGTAGAACAACAACAAAACAAATGTAAAATCCATCTTTGTTTCATCGTCAACCATCTGCATTCTCTCGGGCACACGCATTCTGTACAACTTGAATCCTGTTTTCATCATGATTTGTAAAGCAGGATTGATACACTATGTCAGCAAAATTGAAATGGCTTAGGACTAGCGTATCGGAAAGGACCTGTTTCGTCTTCAAGTCAAGAACTCTGGGAATGTTATGAATTAGTTTCAGATTGCAGTTGGCCGTCCTTATAGTTTTTGTTACATGATCACTGAATCTCAGCTCGGAGTCCATTAGTAAAGTAAACCCAACTTTTTTGCAGAATCAACTATTTCAAGTGCTTCCGAGTCAATTGTAATGTTTATTGAATTTGTTCTTGTAGCTGAACTCGGCGATTTTGGTTCCCAAATATCAACAGTTTTAATTTTGCAGAATTAATGCTTAAACAATGGTCTTGTGATGCAACTGATAACTTGTTCAGATCCTTATTGATAAGAGTTCGAGCTTCTTCTATATTATTATGACCAAAAAATAATGAATTTGCGTATGATAATAAGATTTACAATGTGATAAATTATTCGATGAATTAGTTGTATAGTTGTGTATGCATCATGAAGAGCAGCGGGCCCACGATTGAACCTTGAGGGACTCCAGTGGTGAGATTCAGTGGAACATAAATTTTATCGCCAATTTTCACAAACTGTACGCGATTAGACAAATATAGAGTTGTGAACCTTGTATTTGAAAGTAATCTGAACTAGTACAAACCATTTTTGTCACTCTATGAAATAGTATATGCGGATGAGTGAATCATTAGATTACTCCATTTATAGGTCGGTAGTCTTCTTCCTCATAAATCTCAAACTGTTGAAGGATTTTGATTTAATTCCTTTTCCATATCTGCAGGATGGTGTGTGTTTGTTCAGACTAGATCGAGTTGAAATAAGTTCTAATGGCTGTCTGGAGGATTTCAATACCTGCTACTAATAAGACGACACGCAAAGTCTATATATGAAGGGTTAAATTGAAAATGGAGAACTCTGAATCACTTTCAGTTAGGCAACTTCTGTGAATTCCAAAATTATATGTCAATGAACATCTCTGTTTACTGTGTCACGGTATATCAACAGAGGATTATACAGTTTGATCGACCCAATAAACAACAATATTATGTGCAAATTCAGAAATTTGCATTTTCTACATTCAGTATTACATAATAATATATAACAATTGTATTCAAAGAACAATTCGATAATCATCATATATTCAGTGGATTTATCCACATCGTCATATATGTAGTTTGATTCTCTCCATATATTCTTATTGATCCTTGATATATTGTCACGAGTCACAATCGCAACTCGATTTTACTCGCTTGCAAGAGGTTTTATGGAAGTTATAATTAAAGAATTTAACCCCACTTGCCTCTTGAATAGAAACAATTCGGGCATGAAATAGATTGTCCAATTTAGCAAGATACATCCAACTAAAATAAAACAGAACTAGAAAACTAAAACTAATAATATTAAAAAACCTACTTATAGAAGGGCTCGCTTTCCGTTGGAGGATTGAAACTGCCACTCGCTACGATTTGACATGATGCAAAAAAAGTAGAATATTTCTTTTTGTTAGCCAATTTGAAAATTCATACTTTACGGTCCACTGTCCACAACTGCCGAGTTTTCTCTCTAATACTTCTCCACGTCGATTTTGGTAGTGGTAATTGATTCAGCATAAAAACTAGTGTATTCATCTCGATTAGGAAAAATCCGATACCAGCAGTTTCTGCGTCAGCGACATCACTATAGAATAATAATGAAAGTGAAATCCGAACAATAATTTCCTTTGAATATCGTGATTCTCCACTGATATTCTGTAAGCTGAATAATTCTCAGAATATGATGTATAAACAAGGTACTACTTGCCCTGAATGAGATGAGAATCACAAATATTCCCAAGAAAATTATAGTTTTGATCCATTCTTGACCATATGTTGTCTTTCAGCACCGCGAATCCCTTTATACTATTATACTTCTGAATATCCGATTTGCTATATAGGTCTACACGTTAACAAGAAAACGATGACTTCGTTTAGATCGAAGCTAAAGTTTTGTCATGTTATCGATTGAACCAGGATTATATGGTTTAACCTGATGAAGGATACATAACAATTTGCACCTTCAATATATACCCCCTGCGGTGATGGAGGTTCACTGCGTTACAAAGCCCTGCTACCTATTATGGTCTCTTCGTAACATAACACTATGAGTTTTCTGACATGAGGAATAGGAATTTGCAACTCATTTTGTGATTTCTGATAAGAGGCGCAAATGGCACTCTGTTACTTTGATAAATAACATCATATCTTCTTCGTCGATTAGATGCTGACCAGAATAAGTAAAATATCTGAAAGCCCATTTATTCATACATGAAAAATGTACGTTTTTATGAATTGTCTAGCTTTAACTATTTTTGTGATACTCGCTCTTGAAGAGGTCTGTGCTCCACTTATAACATTTTAATAATTTCATTTACCAATATAAGGACGGGAAATTTCTGAAATACAGATAGTGAACACCAAAATATGAAGATTCGACCCAATATGCCTCATAGAAAAGTCGCAGATACAGAGCGTTCAAGCGAACATGGTATTTCAAAATATTTCTCAATTTTGGTCTAACATTCACTTTGAAATTCTGCTCGTTGTTGACGTCGTTAATTATTGTCATCATTGATTACTGTCATTCTTTCACAATCATTTCGCTAACTTTATAATTTACAATTATCAAAATGTTATAAAGAAAACATAAATCTCTTCAAGAGGAAAGAGGTTTGTGCTCCACTTATAACATTTTAATGATTATAAATATTTTTTCATGTCTCGTCTGATTCTGATGAAATTCCGACCAAATAGATAATGTTTCGAAGTTTCCTGATCAATTTCAATTTTTGAAGAAGCTGATGACTTGATTATTATGCAGGAAAAACAAAAAAGGTGGAAGTTCAAACTAAGCTTCATCTTGTTTCGAATTGAAGTGTGATCCCCTCTTGACACAATGGATTTAGCTTCACGATACCATGTTCTCTTAAAAGGAAGATACAGGTGTTCTGAGAACCTATTGCATTTTTTAGTTTTTATAAACTCACCATATCTAGCAAACATTTTGATATGGAACATCTATGGCCTAATATATTCCCAGCAAAAATTGAACTAGCGGGAAAAGTCCGGCCTATAGTGCAGGCTAGTCTGGGAAATGGGCCGATGATTTTCCTATGCCAAGTATAACCATCATTCAAAAATACGATGGTGGCCTTGTGATGGTTAGATGGTTGGAACTAAATGAATACTAACAAGATCTGGCCCTTTTGCTGGCCAATTTCATGTTCGCTACTCGTCCCCCTGGTGGATGTTCTGGGAACGTCTACATCAACAATCAGCTGATTAATATTTTATGTGACTAAGATGGCTGACTCTCGTGAGTGGTGATCGCGGACTACTTTGTTTATGTCTAATTAATATGGTCCTCTCTCTTCCTGGTGGATAGGTTCTGTGGTTATTTATGATGGCAGGAGTATTCTCAATTGATAATAATAGAAGACGGATTCTTCAATTATGATAATATTGAGTAATTATCAATCTACCTACATAGTGTTTCG